GGGTGACAAACAGGGTGGCAAGGCTCTCCGTTGGGGTGGCAACTGCCACCCCATGCCACCCCGGTAGATCCGCCTATGAAGCTTCTCATTTTCAGTTATTACTCGCCGGATCCTTTTTTCTACTCCCGACATCTCCCGTCACTTCTCTGTGTTCTCCTTTTGTCTCCTTATAGTTTCTTTCCCCAGCATAATTTGTGTTTTTGCTTTGGCTCCATCGATCTTTGTAAGTTTTTGTTTTCTAATATTTTCATTAAAATATTCAAAATTATCCTCCGTCCCAGTTCCTGTCTGCTATTTGGTCCACCATCAACAAGCCCAGACTTCATGACGTGTGTTTGCAATGTGACAAAAATCAATAAAAAAAAAATTCAGTGTACAAATATTTTTGTAGGGCACTTTTCATGTTTCCTAATAGAATACGGCAAAACTTCTTCTAATGGAAAATTACTTATACAAATATTTCCCTGCTCTTTTCAACCTTTCCATTTTTGGTTACAGCATCGCCCATAATAGCAAAACATCAACCATCTACTGGGTTAAACAGGAAGTAGGGCTATTTAAAGATAAAGATATGAAATCAACCTTGTGAACTTTGCTGGAACACCTTTGTTGGTTTCTCCTTTTCAATCCTCAGTCTCAGTTTCCCATTCGTCCTTATCACCTGTCCTTTGTATGCCAACATCACCCAATCTTTATGAAAAATCCAAATATTGATTCAGGCTTTTGTTGGGAATTTCTGACATGGCTGTGTTAAAGTTTGATTTAAAGAGAAGGGAAAAGAAAGCGGCAGAAAGAAAATCTGAAAGGAATTCCTAAACCTCTCGTTTTAGCTTCAAGCTTATTACTCTGGTGTGAACTCAAAAATATACTTGATAAGTTTGGTTACCCTACAACCTGCAGGGTAACACTGCAAAATAAACTGGAAAAATAAACTGAAAAAGGGATAATGGTTCTTTAATGCAGTACCTCGGTACTCAGCTTCACAGATATAGTTTATCTGGTTTTTGCCACAAAGCCATAAAAAGAATCACGTAAAATACAATAAAGAAACCAGAGCAATATCCTTTGAGTGAGAACTCTCAAAAAGTGCAAAACGCAAGTTCAAATGAACTCCGCTATCCTTCAGCTAGCTCACACACGTGTAGAGGCCCGCTAGCATTAGCTCCAATTAGCCTTCATGAACAAGCCCCTTTTTCGTAAACAACAGTTACAAAAGCGAACTACGCGACTCATTGAGATTCGATTCAAGAACCTTTTCAACTCTTTCAAGAAAACTAATAAGTATAAAACCGTATTTATACTGTGTTATGAGAAAGACGAGACACACCGTTGAGGTTACTTCACATTCAACCGAAAGATTTATTCTTCTTGTGTGCTCAATTTTCTCTATGCCACCAACGCGGCAGCGCCCCGAGCGGTTGTGTTTGGAATTGCATAGGACTAACTAAAATGACACTCAAGAACTTAGTACAATGAGAAATTAAAGATACAAAAATAAAAATTATGTTGGGGTGCTTATTTTCTTACTTATTGTTTTTATTTACTAAGAACTCGTATTTCACCCCTCTACATTTGCATAAAAAATAATATTATATCAGTCTTGGCAGCAAAATGCAAGTGACAAGCATAATTTTTCTTTTTTTGTGTTATGAGCACTATGTTCCTTTCCCAAGAATAAATCCCATGTTAATGAACAAACTCAATTTAATATCACGGTTTTTTTTTACATTCTCCTCTGCCTCTTCCTAAGGACTCACCTCCTCCCCCCTACTACCCTGTTGGTCTACACACTCAGCCCCCCCTCAGGCCATATGAAGAAGTGGTGTATGGCTCAAACCCAGGGCTGATTCTCCCAAACCAGCCCCGTTACATCCCCCAGTATCCCCCACCCGTTGTTCTGCCCCCAGTCACTGAACCCAGTCCATGTGAGTAAAATCTACAGTTGTTGAGATTAAACAAGTCTCTATTGTTGTTGTTGTTGTTGTTGTTGTTTTTTTATCATCTTTGACTTCTCCATTTCTGTCCAGTGCCTAAGAAGAAAAAGAGCTGCTGTGGAAACAAGGCACAGTTCCTCAAGGCGGCAGCGGCGGCTCTGCTGGTGCTTGCTCTGCTGGGAGTCGCTATATGGCTTGGAGGTAAAGTCTGTCTATTCATGTACTTGAGTTACTATAGTCAAAATATTAATTGGCTCCTCCAACATAGCACTGATACCGTTTTAAACCATGACACAGCCTAAAGACATGTTTATAATATGAGTCTGCTTCTCTCTGTTTTAGCCATGTCTAGTTTATTAATTTGAGTAAATAATTCAGAGTTTACACAAAATCAATAGCATCAGGGTTTATTTCATTAGGATATTTTCACCTTGACACCAAACCCCTAGTTAAACTGCACACATCCATTCATCAGTACAACACGGTTTACATTGTAAATATCAATGATGCTTTTCTGACAACGTGTGACCTGAAACATGATTAGCTTCAGCATTTCTATTTTTTTTTTTTAAAGGATGTAGCTGATAGTTTTCAGTGAACTCACATCCTGTTCACAATGTTTTTGTGTAGTGCAATTTGCTTGTAAATGCTAAGCTAACGGAGGCATGATTATTTTGTGTTTTGGTACAGAGAGTTATTTTGCTCCGCAAAGTCAGAACATAAAAAAAATAAAATAAAATAAAAACAAATTTAATCCTGGGCTTCATTTCTGCAGTAGTGCTTCTGCTTACAAAGAAATGTTTGAGCACACTGCACAGAAAAGGTCACACAATGTAAAAAAAAAACAGATCACAAAGAATAAAACAAATGAAGGAACTTGGGCTGACAATAAAGTCTTCTCTTCACTTTTTTTTTGTAGCATTGTTTCGATCAATTCGGTTGCCAGGGAAAACGCAGCTAGATGAAGGAAACATGTGCACAGCTTGTTCTCACACACAGAAGTTCCATTTTCATTTAAACTTACAGTTTGTCGCTCCTTTTGTTTTGTTTTGTTTTTTGTTAGACTTGTCAAACATTTCATTAACTAATAAACTCCACTTCGACGTCCACAGTTTATTATGGCACCAAGGCATTAGCGGACGCAGAGTATGGTGATGACGACAACAGCAAAGAAAATCTTGACGAAGAGGATGTTTTGCTTCAGCATGACACCTGCTCCAACGACACTGTCCAGTGTGACGCAACCAAGGACTGCCTGCTGGGCTCTGATGAAACAAACTGTGGTGAGTGCACACAGGCACACAATCAGCCAGGTTGTTATTAAAATACACTGTCATAAAGCGATTTCTGTTCAACTTTTTTTTCCCAAACTGTGAACCAATGAGAATAAGAAAATAAATGCTAAGAGTTGAAAGTTAGTTTGACATGTCTCCTTAAGGACATGTTTATGGTTGTAAATGTGTGCAAAAGAACTTGGATAGCTAAACTAAATGCACCTTTTCTCCAAACCCTCCCCACCCCCCTAAAAAACAAGCTAACACAAAAACAAACTCGCTCCATGTCTTCTATAGTGCGATTCGGAGAGAGCAACAGCCTGGAGGTGAGAACAGCCCAAGATGGACGATTCCTACCAGTGTGTTACAGTGGCTGGAACAAGGAATATGCTGACCGTGTCTGCTCGCAGCTCGGATTAAGACAGTAAACACATTTCTGTTTTAACAAACACTGTACAGTGACAGAGATTTATTGATCGTTTGCAAACTAAAACCATCCCTTAGCTTCTTTAAAGTACCTTTTTAAACCTCTCCATCAGATCCAGTCACAGCAGCCATCAGTGAGAATTAGATTTTCAGTCTGCAAACTCTATCATACCCACATAGCTCCATTTCGTTTCTCCTCCCCTGCTGCCCGTGTGCTTAGACTTCAATTGAAAATCGTAGAAATTGCCGTCGTCTCTCAGCTTGACAGAACCAGAGTCAGTTTCCAGCACCAATCAGGGGCTGATTTGATGAAATTTCTGCTGTGTTGGCTGGTTTGTTTTCTCAATTGTTTGAATCATCTCTTTTTTTTTCCCTTCTTCAGGTCCTATTTAAGTGAAGAAATTGACTCCAATCCATCCATGGCTTTAAAACTGACCGGCAATTCAGCTTCTCTTGTTCAGGGTCTCTTAAGTACCAGGTAAACCGGCATGTTTACATTCTGAGCATGTAGACATGCTCAGAATATTTGCTTTTAGGCGTGTACTTATGGTAACTGGCATGTGTCTCCTGCTGCATTCTGCAGTTCTTCCTGTCCAAACGACAAGACCGTCTCCCTGCAGTGTGTGGGTAAGACGCCTCCATCTGCTCCTACAGTCACACAACAGCTTCCATTTTCTTTCCTTCATTGTTCGTTTTAACTCATGTAAAACCTTGCGCTCACACAGTTTCGCTTTCAACTTTTATTTTTTTGTCACATTTATAGTTTTGAAATTTAAATAATGAATAGGAGCTCTTATAAAAAAAAGGACTGCAAAGGTTTAAAATGATTTATGGGGGTGGGGGGATTGTGTCAGTGTTTATGCTTTTATTTGCCTGCTATTTTCCACACTACTTACCCAACTGCTAAGATGACACCTACTTCTACTGCTTCGGTTTGTACTGTTGTTCTAGCCGCCTGCAACCACCTGTTGTTTCTGCATGAGCTGGACAATTTAAACCAGTTTAGATCCAGATTAGACCTAAATTAGTTGTCGAATTGATCACTTGCCAGCTCAAGTGGGTCCAATATATGAATGTAGGCCTAAATATTACCAATCCATCCATTCTCTGTACCTGCTTAACCTTTGCATGGTTATGAGGTGAATGACGCCTCTCTTGAGAAGAAGAACAGGGAACAGGGAACAGGGAAGACAACAACCGAGCAACCGACCACTCATGTCGACACCTTAGAGCGACTTTGAGAGGTCGGTCAACCAAGAGGCATGTTTTATTGACGAATGAAGTTGTGACACTCGGAGAGTCCCTCTTACAGCGTGACAAAAATATGCAAAAGCCATGTCTGACGGCCAACAACAGCTCCACCATGAAGCCAGTCCCATGCATAAATATGTAGGCCATGCAAAGCGAAACAAATACTATAGTGCAGGGAAACAAATGTAGGCTGAACATTCTGACATACCTGGAAGTAAGAAATATGCTAAGGAGTGGCTAAGGACAGATACCACTGAAGTTTATATGACACAGTTGGTGAATGAGTCACTAAAATAAGACCAACTGAGAACATAAAAAGACAAACTGATGCTGACTTTTTTTTTACGGATATACAGCAGCTGAACAAAAAAAAACAAAAAAAAATCTAAATCAACCTTGAATGAATAAATCTTTTCCCTATATTCACTTTTCTCCTTCTCAGACTGTGGTAAACAGCCAGCTACATCCCGGATCATTGGGGGCACTGTGGCTAAATCGGGTCAGTGGCCATGGCAGGTGTCGCTTCAGTTCAAAGGATCCCACGTCTGTGGCGGTGTCCTGATCTCACCGGATTTTGTGCTGACCGCTGCTCATTGTTTCCCCCAGTGAGTGACGCAGAAATTCCCATCGTAGCGCTTACTTTTTCCACTCTGTTGTTCACAAAGTAAAACCTGTGAGCTCCGTTAAAACTGCAGAACATCGTAACAGTATTTACCTAATGAGTTCATGGAAAGCTAGGATTTTGAAATAAGCCGTGACCAGTTCACTCCTTTACGGTGAAAAATGTATTTCGGTTCCTGTCACCGCAGGGAGTACCTCTCTGCTGAAAACTGGAGAGTGTATGCTGGAATCGTGTCTCTGGATAAACTAACTCAGCCCTACTTGGTTCAGACGATCGTACTCAACGAGAACTACAACAGCAGGACCAGTGACCAAGACGTTGCTCTTCTGAAGCTTAAGTCTCAAGCTACTTTTAATGGTGAGAGTCATTTTTACCTCACGGTGCCGCTTTTTTGAGAAATCTTTAGGAGCATTGGGAACCTTTTTTTTTTTTTTTTATAAAAATGAACCACTACTACTGAAGACTTCAGCTATTCAAGTGTCTAAATGGCGATAGGTTAAATAGTACATATGGTGTCTTAGAAAACATTCATGCCTTTGTTGTGGGTATTTTATTGGGATTTTACATGATAGGCACAGTAAAAATAACCTCCATTATGTAATTATGTTGTCTATCAGGACAAACTGCCTGAGGCAACTTCAGAGAAAATTGTAATTGTCCTGTGAAAGTCTGTGCTGTTAATGTGTTACTAGCAAAATGTGGTTCCCTTGCAGGTAAACCTTTGCTTTATCCAGTCTCACTTTGATAATTTGATAAAAACACACTTTGTCTGTCCTTTAATTTCCTCGAGGAAGCACAAAGCTGCTGATGAATTTACTGAAGTTAAATGCAGTTGCATTTTGCAGATGATGTTCAGCCAGCCTGCCTTCCGCTCATTGGCCAGGACTTTCCACAGGGAACCAGTTGCTGGACGTCTGGTTTTGGCAGTACTCAGGAAGGATCAGGTAAAAAAAAATAAATAAATGAAAAATGCTGCAACTGGTTTCAGTGAAAAATATACAAGGAAAAACGTGTGCTAACGCACTAAAAGCGTAATAGCACATTGCTAAGGCAGGTAAACCCTACAACATCAGTGAAACATTTATGAATGGAACATCAAGCATAGAAACAGCAAAATGTTTACAAAAATAATAGCAAATGTAGTTCATGGGGGGAGCAGTTCTCTATTTTTTTTTTTCTGAGAAGGGCTAGCTCTCCACTTTGAATACCCTCGGGCTGCACTGACAAGCAAGTGCTGTATTTTCTTGTCCATTATGTGATTATTAATTGAAAGCTTTCATAAGGCTGGTTGCAAATTCTGTTATTCGAAGGCAATAATTGGCTTTTGTTTCATATTTCAAATGTTTTGGCATGGTTAGAGCTTTTTGGAAACAAAATGTGTCACTTTGACGGGTTTTGAAAATGTTTAGTTTGATTTTAAGGCTGCACAAAAGCAGAAGGTAGAACATTAGTAAAGAAACATCAGTGTTGTTAAAAGAACACAAATAACCTGTCAGCAGCTTGTGTATTAACTACGTAAGTAATCATTAAATGAAAAAGACACTGCAGACATGAGGGAGAGGCCCTGTTTTATTTGATTGGTCTAAAAAAAAATGTAGTGAAATAAAATCCTAAAAGTTGCTATGATACTGCACACAAATGTGAAATTTTATCTGTTCTTAGGCATTACTTGGTGTATTTCACTCACCCTGTTTGTCTCCAATTAAAGGAACCGTCTCAAAGGACCTAATGGAAGTGAGTGTGGACATCATTAGCACACAGGTGTGCAACACTGCATCAGTTTACAGCGGTGCAGTGACCAGTAACATGATTTGTGCTGGAAAATTGGAAGGAGGCAAAGATTCCTGTCAGGTGAGGCTATTTTATGACAATCAGTCATAAAATGGGGTAAATTCGCAAAACTATTTGCGTGTGCTAAATCAAACGACAAATGTCTGTATTCATTTAAATTAGAGCCACAGCAAACGCTGTTTTGTTAGGTGATATTCTCCTAACATATTTGTTATTACATAATGAATAATGGGTTAAAAATAAAAATAAAAATACCATCTGCTGAAAGCTGGAGCAAAATTTTGTAAATATTTTAACAAAAGGGAAGATTTTTGAAAACAATTTTTGAAATTGAGTTTAAAATCCAGTTGTTTTCCTTTTTTTTTTTGAAAACTGAAAATATAAAATTTGATTGTGAAACATTTCAACACGCTGTGCCAGGGATTCTGTGTCACGAGGAACAATATTTTAAATTTTAGATATCCGAAACATTTCTGTCTTTCACTTTGTAGATTCAGTCTTTTCTAAAGTAGTCATTTAGAAACGGATGTAAATTGTTGCCATTTAATGGTTTCAATGACCGTGTTTGTGTCTTCATACATTTTATTTTAACCCTGCAGTGAGTATGAGGCAGAAATGCAGCAAGTGACACGTGAAAAGCAAAGAACAGAGCAAATTACACTTCCTTGTGAATTTCCCCCTCTCTCTTTGATTAGACACAAAAATTACAGGTAACGGTTTTTGCTAACCTTTCATGCGTATGATTTAGGGTGACAGTGGAGGACCTTTGGTGTGCAAAGGAGCCAGCCGTTGGTACCTGGTGGGGCTCACCAGCTGGGGATCGGGTTGTGGCGGTGCAAACAAGCCTGGTGTCTACACCAGAGTGAGCAGTGTTCTCCCTTGGGTCTACAGCAAAATGCAGGTAAGAATTGAGAATTTTTACTTATTTATTTTTCTCTGACCATGTTGATGTTCATATTTGCACTGATGTTTTTTTTACATTGCTTCCTCTTTTTTTTATATTTTTTTTCTCACAGCAAGTGAAGCCTTAATATCTCCTACACGCCCAGCCTAGTTAATGAAGTCTGCACTGCAAACTCGTGTTTGACGAAGAAATTGCAACACACACAAGAACATAGGGATGAGAGGACACTACAGGCCAACTGAAAGGGTTACATGTTGGCTTTTGGGGGATTCAGAAAGATAATAAATACTAAATAAGTTGATTCAGTATCAGGCTAGCATTTTTGATTTTGGGTGTTTCACTCTTACATTAGCTGGGCTTCAAAAATAGCTCACCTTTCTATATTTAATTTCTGCCAATGACGGTCCTTATTATCGTGATCCCACTGATCAAAGTTTCACTTTAAAAATGAAGGATATAAATATATATATGTAGAGAGAGAGCTTGTCAATAGGTATATTCTTCTCAGGGCAATGTCTGGTTATTGTTGTCTGTCTGTTTACAGTTTAGAAATGTATATTTTACTTTGTACTGAAATCAAAGAGATTTTATACATGTATTTGGAATTTTGTGAATATAAACTAATTTTTGTGGATTTTGTTTTATTGTGTTCTTTGTTCACACATTTTCTGCTTCCTAAATGTTCCCACCGTTGGAGAGGCACAAAATGTCTTTAAGTGAAGTTTCCATAGTCTGAGATGTTTTTGGGAGCCATGTCATTTCCTGTCTTTAGTCCACCGTGTGCAGCCATCTGACAGGAATGGCTGGACACAGTTTTAGAAGTTTTAGGACACTTCAAGATTCCCTGCAGAGAGACTTTGTCAATAACTTGATTTAATTTTCCTGGTGACTTGGTGAAAAGCCAGCTTTGGTTCGTACAGAAGGTCTGGAATCTATTGGGAAGCAGTCACTTGCTGGAGGCGTGGACAAAACGTTTGAATTTAAAACCAAATTGCTTGGGCATGACAAATGAAATGCACTAGATTGAAGTTACGGCACTTACCAGTAAGCAACCATCCCCCACTGCAAAGAGAGAAGTGCCGAGCCGAACCAGATGGCTGCTGATGTTAGTTCATATCAATTTTTGGAAGTCTGGCCAACACGGCTTCGTTCACTTCCACCATTGCCATTCTACTGCATAAAATTGACACCCACAACTTCATTCACAACTTCCCCTTCTGTTTGTTGATGGAACCAGTTGAAATCCCACCAGAGGAATCCAGCTCAATGGGAGAAACTCCAGACAGAACACTGGAGGGAGATGAGAATTGAGCAGGCAACATTGTCAAGCAAAGAAAATATGTGTTTGACTATCAAGAAGTTGATGGATACCAGATCAAAATAACACAAACCGAGCTGCAGACCAGCCACAGACCAGATCGCCTCCACGTCACGCTGCATTGATGCATTCATTCAAAATGAATGAAATGAGCCCCAGTCATGTGTTGGATGCGTTGACTGTTACATAACATGAACAAACTATTCAATAGCTTTTAATATCGAGTAAATTAGTTAGTAATATCCAAACCAGTAACCAGATTAAAGTTATCCAAGTTACTGAGTGTTACTATTTCTTCTTTTTTCAATAAAGAATAAAGTAAAATCAATAAAGTAACTAATTACTTTTTTTTTGAGAATGAATCTAAAGAATAGTCGGATTACTTTTTCAAGGTAACTGTGGCAACACAGGTTATGTTATATTACTACGTGGAGAACTAATTTTGAGTTTCCATTTTTGTAAGACATATTATTGAAAATCAACATAAATCAACATTAAGCCTTTATATTTGTCAATAAAACTTTTAGAAATATTCTAATTGTGATACGCCAGTATATGCTATGAATATGAGACAAAAAAAAAAATCCGTATGATGGAATCTATATACTACCAGTCTGTGCAGAGCGAGAGAGAGACAGAGAAAAGGGTAACGACAGGATCCAACACACGGAAAAAAGCTGTTGCTGCAGGAACCACGTTGTTATCCATCACGTCTGTTTCTTTTCTTTTTTTTTTCCAGGAGAAGTCGTGTCTACATGATCGTTGTGCAACATACAAACAGATGAGCTGTCTTGTCGAAACCAAATCGTTAGTGAAACAAGCAGATTGATCGTCACTGATCATCGCGGGCGGATATATATATATATAAATACAAACCCGAACGTCCTCCGGAGAAACAACAGGTAAGTTGATCAGCGCATATTTGATTTCTGACGTTGCCACTGCCGTGCATGTTTGCTGGGAAATGATGTGTTTCACGTGCATTCAGACTGGCTGTCACATCCAGCAGGCACAATGCGGCTCCGCGGTCTAAATAACTTGCAGGGACGCAATTAACACTTCCAGTCAAACCGTGAGGGTGTGTCTGCTGGCACACGTCGTGAGACACAACACGCAAGAAAACACGGGTGATTAATTGACTTTCAGATGAGTACGTTTTCTTTTATTTTCTTCTTTTTTGTGTGTGACATAAACATCAAGTTCTGTTTAATGTCTCAGGGCTCCGCAGAAAAGGAAACACCACCTCAGATACGAGCGGTGTCTTTGTTTTCCGCTCCAGAAAAATGATCCACAGGTTGGGGAGGACCGATGCGCTGCCGTCACAGACTTGATGGGAATTCATTTTGCTCCGGAGTAATGACGATGTCATTACACGTTAAGGGTGTAATGTAAAGGTTATTGATTACCTTGTAGGATCAACTTCATTTCCCAATCATATTTGACTTGTGCATTTCTGGAGGATTTTACAGTTTTGGTGAAATTCAACCTTGCACTTTTGATTTTAAAGCTGTGGACCACACCCGCTTTTTTTCTTTTTTCTTTTCCTTCTTTGTTTATAAATGTACACTGACTGATTTATTGTCCCTGCATGTGTTTTGATATAAGGCCACCATCGATTCGCGGACCTCTTTCTCATTCAGCTGCGATTTCTTATTGGATACTGTGGAACGACGCACATTGTTGTCATGGTGATTTAACATTTTTATTACGATGATGGCGGACATAAAGGGGCGGGTTCCTGCACATGGTTTATGGAGGGCAATGTGACCCATTTACTTATCCTAGATTCAAAAAGAAAGAGACGAATGAAAACCTTCCTTATCGGTGGTTTGATTTACTTTAATAAAAATACGGTAAACCATAAGAGGACCATTTCTGATGACTTTATTTTTTAAAAACAGCTGTGATACTGGGTCATCAGGCTCGTGATAGTTTATCTGGAACTATCATATCTTATGTGACCCTTTTGTTTCTTCCCTTTTTGTAAAACTGTATAAATGTCTTTTTGTCCTGCATTCCCTAAATACGTGTAAAAAAACAACAAGCTTAAACATTTTCATCTTGCTCGTAAAACTCCTCCTCCCACCCCCTCATGTGAACGATGAGTCTCATATCATTTTTTGTTATTTTATGCATTTTCACATTTCATACAGTATGTGACTTCTACACAACAGACTGCCTCTCCACAGTCCTCACCTCAGACAGTGTCTCCCCTAAATGCCCTTCACTAAGCTTTCTCAACAGACAGTGTTGTCCCCCCCTCTCCCCCTCCCCAGGGTGTGCTTCATGTCTCCTACCTTGACCGTCTCTCTGCTTGCCCTCTCCTTGTCCCTATGTTGTAAAAAAAAAAAAACTCTCCATCTGTTGTGTTATTTTCCCCCCACCTCGCTCTCCTCCTCCTCTCTGTGATATAAAGTGTCTAGAATAGAATTAGCTCTTTATTTGTCCCTCAGTGGGGGAATTCTGAGCATGGAGACAAACAAATTTAGTATGCCAAGATGGTCATTTAAAAAAAAAAAACAACAAACAGAAAATGGGAAAAGCTCTTTGGCCCTCTATGAATAAAGTAAACTTAATTGGTTTTACCTCCTTTGGCAGCAAAAACGTCCATCAAGCGTTTGCGATAACTGAGAGTGAGTATTTTACATGGCTGCAGAGAAATCTCACCTGACTCTTCTTTGTGGAACTGTTGCATTTCAGCCATATTGGAGTTTGTTTGTTTTTTTTTTTTTTTATGAATGACCACCACCATTGGAATGAGATTTATGTCTGACATTTGACTAGACCTCTCTGAAACATTCAGTTTGCTATGAATCATTCGGAGGTGGACTTGCAGGTGGGATTTGGATCCATCACCCAGGCACGTTTTAAGCTTAATGTCATGTGGCTGGAGATTCTTCTTCCATCAATTCTGTCCTGCTTCAGCTAAACAGCCCCCATCACACTTCCTCCACCATGTTTAACTTTGAATTGCTGTCTCATGTCATGTCATGTCACCTTCCTAAAGTTTCCACTTTTGTTTCATCAGTCCACAGAACACTTTCCCCTAAAGTCTTGGGGATCATTGAGATGTTTTTAAGCAAAATGTGTATGGATTCGATTTGGGCCATTTTTGGCAAGGTTCTTTACTTATTCTTGACTTGTAACTTTAGCATTTGAGGTCTGTGGTGCTTTAGAAGTTGTTGTGAGTCATTCTTGCTCTCTGAGGGTCATTTTCAGGGGCCGACCAGTCCTTCTAAGCTTCACCATTAGATGTTTTCTTCTTTTGTGGAGAAATGCTTTCACTGCGGTTCACTGGAGTCCCATAGCGCCAGAAATGTTTTTTTTGTTTTTCCTTCTGTTTCATTCTGGTGAATGTCAGCGACTTAGGTTTTCATATTTTCTCGAATTTGTTTAAATTAAATGTGATGTGTTGCTATTTGAGATTTTTTTTTTGCCTTCTTCATATTGTCAGACAGGTTTCATTTAAATCATTTGATTAATTATGTCTCTGTGTAGTCAGTAAAATTAGACTCAGCTTCCCAAAATATGTGGTTCATTAAAGGTGATTAATGATTTAAGCATTAAGGCAATTACATTTTTTTCCCCATTGTGCCAGGATGATTTGCGAAGCTTTTCTCCCTTGAAAATTTAAATCATCACTTCAAAATAGAAGTACTAAATTAAATTGAACAAAAAAAAACAAAAACAGAAGAAACGTGCATTGGATAATGTACGTTTTCACACAACTGCTGCATGAGTAATAGAGGGAAATAAAAATATGTTTAAGGCCTTTTTGAATGAATGTGAATGAATATATTAAAAATTCTCACAAATTGTAATACCATTTTGGTTGGCAGCAGTGCTGGTTGTGAATTATAATCAATGGAGATGCACCAAAAATGCACAAAGTGTTATCTTAATAGGGCACATTTTAATTGGTGGCATCAAGTGTAAATTTTCAATCTAAAATAAATCTGACATTGCAAAAAAAAAAAAAAAAAAGAGAAAAGAAAAAGAAATGAGTACAGCAGCAGCATCTGAAAAAAAAATGGCCTCTTTATGGCTCTGGTTCCCAGTAATTGCAAAATTGCATTACAACATGACTATAAGTAGAAGTGACAAGATACATATCTGCAGTTGCTTGGAAGAAGTCGCTTTACACAACGGCCTCTGAAGCTGCACAGATGATCTGTGTTTTCTAAATCAGGTGGGGTCTTCTTCTTCTTCTTCTTCTTCTTCTTCTTCTTCTTCTTCTCCTCCTCTCAATTTGGCCGCAGCATCACACGTGTGTTAATCCTGGGAAAGGGTGAGGATTCAGGAAGAAAAAAAAAAGCAAAGATCTGTTTTATGTATTTGTTGTTTTGTTAAGATGTGGCCAGTTAGAATGATGCGATTTTTAAATGGGGTCTATTATGAAGACAAATAAGGCTTAGAATGAAGAAATAGATAAAAACAAATTGAGTTAAAGAAGGTGAAAGCACTACAGGAAAACACATAAAAACATTTAAATAAGGACTAGAATTCACCAAATAAATTGGAAATAATGTTCTAAAAAATGAATGAGATACAAATATAAGGTCAAAGCGTTGTTAAATGAGATATTTGAATTGAACATGTATGACATGCAGTTTGGGGACAGCCTTCAGTCATCAAATCTGCTGTGAAAACACAAAGCCTCTTAAAATATGCAAATGTGACACACTGTCGTTCAGATTAGCTTATAAGGTAGACAATAGAACGCTACATATGACTTATAAAATGATGTATCTCTCTGGTCCATTCCAAATTTGATGAAAATGCTCAATTATTTGTAACTTTGATATAAACACTTTTGTGTAAACACATTTGCAGCAGGAACTAACCTAAAGAAAAATGAATTAAGGATTGGAACAGCATACATAATTATAAAAAGGCTGACACAGTGAGTGTACATGTGCAGCAACGCGATGTTTGACGCTTATGATTTGTTTCTGCTGATACCATAATGAGGCTCGGAAAGAACGAGCAGCCAAATGGACCTGAACAGACCTGCAGCGAGTCAAACGGTGAGGTTTGCGACCCGTTTAGCCCTTTAAAACAGGAACGGTGAAGCAGGAGGCGTAATAAAACCTTCAGGATCCTGAGCGTTGTTAAACTGTGAAGCCCTGCTAAGTGTGGCTTTAGATTGCCTTCAGAATTTCCTTTTCAACATGTAGAGACAGACGATGTGGGAATTGGTTTATTTTGACCAATTCATCCTGGAAACGGGTCAGATATAAATGGTGATGGTTGATTCAGAGCACATACGGTATGAGACACAGCGGATGCGTGTGTGAGCACACTGAGCAGTCTATATGAAAATAGGTCAAGGTTACGTGTTGTCCTATGGGACGATAGCTTTCTGTCTGCTTGGAAGAGGCTGAACCTGATAAACATGGATAATTATGCGGGATAAAA